AAAACTGTTGTGCAGTTTTCCTATTATCATATATATATATATATATATATATATATATATATATATATATATATATACGAGTTTGAGTAAAAACGACTGACAAAGTACAGGGGTTTAGTTTATATTTAATTTTCTTCTGTTCTTATAATTTTCTTCTTTTCTGGACATAAATTATATAGAAATTATCCAAATGTTTTGTATATTCGAGCGCCTTCAGCTATAATTATAGTCATTATCATGCATGATTTTATTTATATTTTTTATTGAAAATAGAGGTAATTTTATGTGTGTATCTAAAATTATAGGAATGTTTTATTTTACAAGCATGTCTCATTCCTAGATACATACATAAAACAATCCGTTGTACGTTCCGGCCGTCTTCAGGTGGTTGCTAACTAACGCCTTTATCCACTGTGGCACGTGTCCTTAAGGACACAATGAATAAATGAAGAAAGGCGTAGATCCAGTGACAAGACCCAAAGAGTGTGAGTTCAATACCCGGTTAAGGCAGTGGAGAACTTGGAGAGGGAAATTAACAGGAGATAACTGATAACTAACATCCATTAAACATTCAACCCCATTTCAGTTCGACATTCTAACTACCTCAAGAAGGCCGGAGCGTACAACGGCCGAAACGTTGTAATAAATATGACGACAAAAATGAGTCTGAATAATATAAACAGTTAACAGTACCTTGTCAGTCGTCCTTAATGAGACGAGGGATTTCTGCCCAAATACACAATATATATATATATTTGGGGGTGCGTATGTGTGTGTATTGGGTATGGTATCGTGTACACAAACCGATATAATCAAGAAGTGACCCAAAATGTGCAGAACCTGTGGATTGTCATGCTAGCACGAAGTTCCGAGTGCACTGATCTTTTTCAATCGTAAATGTATATACAACCGGAGAGAAAGATATTTTGGCGTTTTCATCAGTTTGTGTATGTATGGATATCTATATATATGTATTGTCATCCACAGACAGACCGTTTCGCAGCGCATCAATGTGGCTTGACGTCCGTTTTGCCCATAGCTAGGATCGAAACCTGGCTGAATTGGCGTCAGTCGGAGATTCTACCACTAAGCCGTCGGAACATGTTGGGTATTGGAGGTGAATTTAAGCGTATTTATTTTAGATTAACACACAGTAATTGAATTCCTTTTCAAAAGAGTCATATATATATATATATATATATATATATATATATATATATATATATATATATATATATATATATATATATATATATATATATATATATATATATATATATATATATATATATATATATGTGCCTGTGTATCGTACATGTGAATCAGTTATTCGTATATATATATATATATATATATGTGCCTGTATATGCGTATGTATATATGTACATGTGAATCAGTTATTCGTATGTATGTCTCTATGCATGTGCATGTTTTTATATCTGTGTTGGTGTCTGTGTATATGTATGCGCATGTGTGTCAGTGATGTGTATGTTTGTATATGCGTGTTTCTGCGTGCGTACATGTGTATGTTTGCATGCGTTTTTTTTGCATATGTCCATGTATTTATGCACGTGAATCTGTTTATATATATATATATATATATATATATATATATATATATATATATACATGTATGTGTGCATATTATTTTCTTCGTGATAATTAGTTTAGTAGAGGCACAAGGGAAATATTGTCAATTCAGCGCATAGGAAATGTACAAAACTATAATAAAACCATTGTCTTTGTCAACAGGGTTTTGTAGTGACCCCGATTTACTTTTTTTCTGTTATTAACATGAAGTTCAAATGAGAAAAATTATGCAACGGTGTGTATTTCTCCGTTTTATCGAAGAGATAATTGCAGACTGATAAGAAATATCTGACTCATTATCCTACTGCAAAATGACCCCTCTTTTTTGTGGTGGGGAATTGGCTGGGGCTATTTCAAAAACAGCTGTCTTAGCCTACCTCTAATGACGCCTGCAAACACGTTCAGGAAAAGCGATGTTAGCAAACTTGAAAAAAAAAAGCAATCATTGCAATTCCACAAGGCTACAGGTCAACATAAACATATATACAGATGTTGGGTACCAACTGTAAATAGCAAGATAGCCTCATATCCGTTAGATATTAAGTTAGCACGTGTGTTGCATCCTACCATTACCTCAGATAAATAACGGACCATTTCCTTTTGACTGCGAAGAAAAAGATATATCAGTGGCGCTGTCTATATTTCTGAGATGACGTATTATTTATACTACTTACATTATTCGGACTATTGTCCTCATCGTTCTTCTAAAGGGATTTTCGTTAAGGTGGATTATATATAAGGGTGTTTCATTAAGAGGGATCAAATTCAGCAGTAACTAAATCACTGTTATTTGTGAAAATTTATTTATTTCTCTATTGGATCATGTTATTTAAGTCATGGCAATTATGTGTGAAAAATAATATCACCCAAATGTCCGCCAAATCTGAAAGAAAAAGAAAAAAAATCATTAGACGCTTAAACTTAATTCACATTTAAAATTGCTCCAAGTTATTGGAACACCTTTTATAACGAAGTTTCACTTATCACGTATGTATAAATGAATTTAGAAAATGTTGTGTTAAACTTTTTCCCGGAAACTATAAAAATGCCTTGAAAGGTTAAAAAAATTAACTAAAGAATTTTTTAAAGAGCTTTTATTGGTTATTGTTGTGACCAAGCAATTGGTTAAGGAACAACAAAACAAGAGGTTGCAGATAAATAGTTTATTGAACAGTAAATACAACAGAAGTGTGTTACACGACTTGGGAGTGTGTGTCGGTTGACCAGCGTTCCCTCTAAGACTTACTTTCCTTCTATTTTTATAGTAAGTGGAAGAGTCCACAATAGCCTCATTAGAGGGAAGACACCACAACAGTTATAAAACCAGCTCGTACGCGTGAAAATTGCTGCCCATCCAAATACGAGGTTTGATCAAAACTTGGTCCTATAAAATGAAAACTACAACACATATCAATTCGATATTTAATGTCCTTCGAAGTAGTCCTCTTCTGAAGCCACACACTTTATCCCGTGTCATTTTTAGTGAAGTGAAAATGACTTCTTTTTTTTTTTAAATATAGCGAACAGCTGCACCATTGCATTTTGGATTTCTTTGGCGTTTTGAAATCTTCCTTTCAAGTGGGATTTGATTTTTGGAAATATAAACACGCATAGCTCAAATCTTGTTGAAACCTTACGACAGATATGAAGTTGTATGTATGAAACATGTTTATGATTTTGGCCCCTTGTGCATATTGTCTTAGTGACTCTAGCGAAGAAAACGGCGACTTACCTCGTCAAACCAAGCAACAGCGCGTCGCGTGTATTCTACGACGGAAAAAGTGGCGAAAAAGTAAATTACTTACTAAACAAAAGGGCACGTATTCCGCATGACATGATGAAAATGGAATATTTGAATTAAAAAAAAACAAGTCCGTCGCCAGGGTCGCTATAAAAGTATTTTGATATGCAAATTACTGAACATCCTCTCCCAGCTGTCGACGAATGAAAAAAAAAAAAGGTTCTGCCGATAAAAGCAGTTGGTGTTCTCGAGTTGGGGAAGAAAAATTCGTGCATTTTTGGCTACGGCGTTTGTTAGAGAGTGAGTTATTTTTCTGACTGGTTACACGCATTGTGATTTGAGATAGTACCGGCGAATCGAGTTTTCAGCAGTTCCTTTTTGATCCCCGATATTCGAGTCTGTACTTACAGTGATTTTTCTTTGTGTTGTGGAAGTAATCTACGACAAATACTTCCTTTGCTTTCAGAACGCCTACAGTGACATTAAAGTCGGTAAACACGCAAACATAAAAGCAGTTGGTGTTCTTATATACGCACAATGCCCATAACTGCATTAAAAAAATGTTTCGTATTTTGACTGACTATATTAACAGGGTAGAATGCACAATCATTTCAAGACGGAAGCGTTCAATATTAGCAACGGACTCAATTTTAAAAGTACACTATTTACATTATTCGGACAAATGTCCTCATCTTTGTCGCCATATTTATTAAAACGTTTCGGCCTTTGTACGCTCTGGCCTTCTTCAGGTGGTTGGAATGTCGAACTGAACTTTTTATTTCGCTCACTGGGGTAGACTGTTCTAGTTCCACGTGCCATGTCTAATGGATGTCAGTTATCAGTTATCTCCTGTTAATCCCCCTCTCCAAGTTCATCCACTGCCTTAACAGGGTATTGAACTCTTTGGGTCTTGTCACTGGATCTAACTAACGCCTTTATCCACTGCGCCATGTGTTCTTAAGTGTGGGGAAAAGATTTCCATCACATGAACTGTTATAAAAATACAAACACTGGCGAGATTTTAATTTTCGTATATATTCGTTCATGTGTCTGTGTATGTGTGTACAAGGTCTGATCAAAAAGTATCGGAACTTGTGCTATAAAAAGAAAACTACAACACATATCAATTCGATATTTAATCTCCTTCGAAGTAGTCCCCTTCTGAAAATGCACATTTTATCCAGAGTCGTTTCTATAAATTGCTAGGGGTAAGAAAAAAAGGATTAATGCCTTTTCCGAAGAGTTCGATGCTGATAAGTTACGCCCCCTGTGTGTTGCGATCAGTCAGGGTTAAAAAGGTATAAAAAGGTATTCGACAGACAGACAGACAGGAAGGAATATCTATGAAAATCTTTAGAAAAGACAAAAAAATAAAGAATTTCTGCACCCCGATTTTAATGATTAGATAACGAAGTCAAATTGTCGAGTGCTATGGTCACTTGTCTTTATTCGGGTGACACAAATGGGTGATTTGATTTCATTTTGACGGCGGGAAATCATTTTTTTTTCTTGGATTCTCTCTCCTCCTTCCACCCACAGTGCGAACGCTGTCCCTTCCCCGACAACCTCGCCCTGAGACGCAAGCATAGATACCCGGATTGAGCAGCCACCCGGTTTTTGTCACTTGAGTATGTTCAGCGGGTGAACATTGTTGTGATATGTGAGATGCTTAAGTCTGTAGAGAAAAAAGTGCGTAGAGGTCGGAAGAAAAGAGAGAAGACCGAATCACCAAATCGAGAAAGAAAGAAATAAAGAAAGAAAAAGAAAGAAAATGGAAGGAAAGAAAGAAAGAAAGAAAGAAAGAAAGAAAATAGAAGGAAAGAAAGAACGGTTGAATATGATTAGGTTTATGTGAAAGCAAGAAGGGGTGGGGTCTGTAAATGATACGGAGGGGAAACAGTAGGAGGTAAAATATATCCAGGTTCTGTATTTGAAGATTTTTTTTCAGAAACAATTCAGGCGGGCACGGGCGTGCGCAAACATTCTCTCCCCACCCCCCACACACACATATGCATATACACACGTGTGTGTGTGTGTGTGTGTGTGTGTGTACGTTCATGTTGCTGTGTGAAAAATAATAAGAATAAGATGATGTTTAGCGAGGACGTTTGGCAAATTATTGTTGTATTAGAAATTTACTACGTTTAGACTTTGACTACGACGAAGATGCATTTAAATACATGCATCAAAAAAGGAAGCGAGGATAGATAGATAGATAGATAGATAGATAGATAGATAGATAGATAGATGCAATTAGACTTAGATGCGACCTGATGTAGATACAAAGCTAGCTAGCTCGCTAGCTAGCTAACTAGATAGATAGATGCAACCTGATTTAGATAGATAGATAGACAGATAGATAGAATCAGACTGAGATAGATAGATAGATAGATAGATAGATAGATGCGACCTGATGTAGATAGATAGATAGATGCGACCTGATTTAGATAGATAGACAGATAGATAGAATCAGACTGAGATAGATAGATAGATAGATAGATAGATAGATAGATAGATAGATAGATGGATGACCTGATTTAGATAGATAGATAGATAGATAGATAGATAGATGCGACCTGATTTAGATAGATAGATAGATAGATAGATAGATAGATAGATAGAATCAGACTGAGAAGGATAGATAGATAGATGCGACCTAATTTAGATAGATAGATAGATAGATAGATAGATAGATAGAATCAAACTGAGATAGATAGATAGATAGATAGATAGATAGATAGATAGATAGATGTCATCAGCCTGAGATCTAGTTCTTGGAAAATAGGTTAATCTAAAGCTATTCTCGAATGACAAAACAAACCTGCATGTGCGCTTGATTATATGTACAAAACGTCAACAGAGGATTTAAAAATGATATTGCCGACGTGCGTCTATGCATTTTGTTATCAAAAGCGTTTAATATTACAGTTTTATATTTGTATATTATTTGCAATCACGTGTTGCTTAAATCTTGTTGAACAAGTTAGAAAGAAAATATTAAAATTAAAAATTAAGTCTGCCATGATAATTTTGATGTCACATCGATTAATAACGAAACCACTAGGGTCAAAAACACTTATAATAAATTCGCTTTGTTTTTATCACGTAGTAAATAATTGCTTCCTGGATTTTGAAAAAATGATCAAGAAAATCGAGGATATTTATTTTGAAATGAAAGGTAAATACAGTAATACCTCGGTTTTTCTAAAGATTATATGGAAAAATAAAACTCGCCTTACGTCGTTTTACTCGAGTATACGTCGGCCGTTAAACTATTAGAAACGTCAAAATATTAGTCTGTCTATATTTCTGAGATGAGGTATTATGTACAGTATTTACATTAGTCGGACTATTGTCCTCATCTTTGTCGCCATATTTGTCACAGTGGATAAAGGCGTTGGTTAGATCCAGTGACAGACCCAAAGAAGGTGAGTTCAATACCTGGTTAAGCAGTGGAGAACTTTCAGAGGGAAAATTAGCAGGAGATAACTGATAACTGACATCCATCAAACATGGCACTTGGAACTAGAACAGTCTACCCCAGTGAGCGAAATAAAGGGTTCAGTTCGAAATTCCAACCACCTGAAGAAGGCCGGAGCGTACAACGGCCGAAACGTTGTGACAAATATGGCGACAAAGATGAGGACAATAGTCCGACTAATGTAAATACTGTCAAATAAAAGTGTAAAACTTAATATTACGAGACATATTAAAAACGGACAAAAAACCGGTTTCGATCCCGCTCTTCAGGCTTCAACGGGAGATTTAAAATCAACACAGAAAAATGTACACTAAAAGGAACAAAAGGTACATGTTTCTGTGTTAATTTTAAATCTCCCGTTGAAGCCTGAAGAGCGGAAGCGAAACCGGTTGCTTCGTCCGTTTTTTAATATGTCTCGTAATATTAAGTTTTACACTTTTATTTCGATCATTAAATTTTGTACCTACAAACATATCTTTATATGTATATATGATAGTCATCAAAAACAAAAAATAAATTAGTTTAACAAAGTATGTTCTTATTTCAAATTCCTGTCGACAGGCAGCAGTCATAAGTTGTTTTCCGCCCCAACACAGATTTTGAATTCAGACTTCTTTAAATTTAGAATACATTTTTGACCATGGCTCCGAAGAAAAGTCCCAGTGGGAGTGCTAATGCTAAGCGTCTAGACGATAAGGTGGAAATTAATTGATTTATTCAGACCACTGTATGTACACATCATAAATACTGTAATAAGCAATAGGAAGTGATTAGTTGCAGCTTATAGTGTTTTTATTTCTACTTAAGTCGTTTTTCGATTTAAATTTTGACATCTGGAACAAATTAACGACGTAAGGTGAGGTAAACTTGTATTAAATGAGAAATTTAAAGTATCTATCTATATATTTGAGATGAGGTATTATGACTATTTACATCATTCGGACTGTTATCCTCATCTTCATTGCCATATTTACAACGTTTCGGCCGTTGTACGCTCCGGCCTTCCTCAAGGACACATGGCCCGGTGGATATAGGCGTTGGTTAGATCCAATGACTAGACCTAAATCAATACCAGACCACAGCAGTGGTGAACTAGAACTTGGAGAGTTCAGTTAAAAGGAAATAACTGAGACATTCCGAAGAGACATGGCACGTGGAACTAGAATCATCTACCCCGGTGGACGAAATAAAGGGTTCTGTTCGAAATTCCAATCATCTGAAGAAGGCCGGAGCGTACAACAGCTGAAACGAAGATGAGTATAACAGTCCGAATAATGTAAATAATAAGGAATTTTAGATGATGAAGTGGAGAGTAAGCGTATAACGTAAAAAAAAAAAACTTTATGAAAGGGAAAGAAAGAAACAGAAAGAAAAGAAAAGAAAAAGAACGGGGAGATTTAAGGATAAAATGATGTCCACCCACGAGAAAGAAAGAAAGAAAGAATTTAAGAATTTAAGAATTTAAGAAAGAATTTAAGAATTTAAGAAAGAATTTAAGAATTTAAGAAAGAATTTAAGAATTTAAGAATTTAAGAAAGAATTTAAGAATTTAAGAATTTAAGAAAGAATTTAAGAAAGAAAGAAAGAATTTAAGAATTTAAGAAAGAAAGAAAGAATTTAAGAATTTAAGAAAGAATGAATTTAAGAAAGAATTTAAGAATTTAAGAATTTAAGAAAGAATTTAAGAATTTAAGAAAGAATTTAAGAATTTAAGAAAGAATTTAAGAATTTAAGAAAGAATTTAAGAATTTAAGAATTTAAGAAAGAATTTAAGAATTTAAGAATTTAAGAAAGAATTTAAGAATTTAAGAAAGAATTTAAGAATTTAGGAATTTAAGAAAGAATTTAAGAATTTAAGAAAGAATTTAAGAATTTAAGAAAGAAAGAAAGAATTTAAGAATTTAAGAAAGAATGAATTTAAGAATTTAAGAAAGAAAGAATTTAAGAATTTAAGAAAGAAAGAAAGAATTTAAGAATTTAAGAAAGAATTTAAGAATTTAAGAAAGAAAGAATTTAAGAATTTAAGAAAGAAAGAAAGAATTTAAGAATTTAAGAAAGAAAGAAAGAATTTAAGAATTTAAGAAAGAATGAATTTAAGAATTTAAGAAAAAAATGAAGTCCATCCTAAAGGAAGTGCATATAAAGAAATGAAAGAGAGAAAGAAAGAAAGAGAAAGATGAAAGACCAAAGAAAGAAACAGAGACAGAAAAAAATAAGAAAAGAAAGGTGTCAATAAAAAAAAACTCATTGTAGTTAGAAAGATATAAAAATATAAAAATGAAGAAAGGAAAAGAACAGAGCTAAAGAGGTCCAGCCATAAGAAAGAAAGAAGGAAAGAAAGAAAGAAAAAGAAAAATAGAAAGAAAATAAAGGAGGGAAATGAAAGAGAAAGAAAAAGATAGAAAAAACGAAAAGAGAGCAATGAAAGAAAAGTAAGAAAGAAATAAAAAGAGAAGAAAAAGAAAAAAATTGAGATAAATAAAAGAGAAAGATCGGGAAAAGTAAGAAAGAGAAAACAAAAGGAATGTGAAAGATAGTTAAGAAGAAAAAAGAAAGTAAAAGAAAGAAAGCAGATAGAAAAAAAAAAGAAAGAAAAAGAAAGAAACGAAATTAAAGATTAACATTCAAAGCAAGAGCTTTGAATCTAAAGATGAAAGCTTGTAAAGGGAGACGTTCTCCATCATAAGTAAGACGTCGTTTAGATAAGAAAAGAAGAGACAAGTGCTCACGTGATCGTTACCGAATGTCACAAGAAACAACTTGTCTTCATCTTTGGCTCCGTTTCTCTTACGCTTGCATTTCGCATTTGACATTCAAAAAATTGGGTTGACAAAGAGAGAGAGAGGGAGAAGAGCGAACGAGAGAGAGAGAGGGGGGAAAGGTGGGGATAGAGGGGGCGCTTTCAAACGTCGTGCTGATAAACCAGAGCACACCAAAATTATAGTATGTAGAGACGTAATTCTGTCGTTCTATGAGCGCCAAAATCATTGAGATTGTTTCGACAAAACTCTGTCTGCTGCCTTTCAAGTTGCCAAGTAGACAAAACGTTTCAAAACATGCCAGCAATTTTCTAACACGTTTCACATGCAATTCTGAATCACAAAACGTATATATAAAAATATTAACAAATATATCTTTAATCCAACATCAGACGTTATTTTAGTGCATGCCCGTTTTTGAATAGACGCCTGTTCTTTTTTTTTTTTTCTCAAGTGTGCATTATGTCTACCAAGCTGCACACGTAAAAAAAAAAAAAAACGTAATAAAGAAATGTGCACCCCTGCAGGGTTTGAACTTGCGCCCAATGTCATCAGCCCCCCAGTACGCTTCTATGCAGGTCACATTACCATTTACTCCCGTCTCAAATAGTAAACCCGGCAGCACTAGCAAAGTCAAGCTGACCGCTGCTCACTAAAAGAATTTTCAATCAGTGAGTAACTGCGGTAAGAAATGGCTTGTAAATTTTAATGCCTCCAAAATGTAACTGCTCTCATTTAACCACCACAGAGATTATTCTCTGCCCGCCATTAACATGGCTGATGCTAAACTCCAGGAGAGTGTCTCACCGCGTCTTCTTGGCCTTACGCTTTCGAATATCTTGAAGTGGAACAACTATATTGAATCAATATCTACATCTGCTGCAAGGAAATTTGGCTCAGTGTGTCGTTCCAGAAGGTTTTTCTCATCAGAGTCCATCCTACATGTCTACAAATCTACCATTCGTCCGTGCATTGAATACTGTCGCCATATTTGGTCTGCTGCCCTTGCCGTTCATCTCGAGGTTCTTGACAAAATCCAAAGAAAGATCTGCATTGTAATCGATCCTGGCTTGGCATCCCGACTCCAATCACTTTCTCATAGACGTGATGTGGCTTCCCTCTGTCTTTTCTCCAAATATTTTCAGTGCAAATGTTCTGTCGAGCTTTTTTCATCTGGTGGCCCGACGACATGAATTTAAGCGTGCTACTAGATTGGCATTTAGGTCCCACTCTTTTATTGTCGAAATAGTTAAATGTAACTACAACTTCTACTCCAACGGTTTCTTTTCTCATGCTTCCTGCCTGTGGAACTCACTTTCGTTTACTTGCTTCCCTGACAACTAAAATCTTCAAAAACTAAATGAAACGTCAATCGCCATCTTCTGATATCTTGAATCCATTACATCTTTTATTCTTTCCTCATTCTCGCTATACACAGTTTTTCTCTCACCATTACTCTATCTAGCCCCCGACCACTGTGAGTTAGTGGCGTCTTGCTTCTAGTGAAATGCTTAAA